GTTTATGATAATTTACATTTAAATAGTACGTAGAATGGTGATTCAAACGTAAAAAGTAAGGTGGTATGACTTTATAGAAGAAGAAAAGTAGGGAGATAGTTTGGACCGTAGATTAATCATCTAAAGGCTAAAAATAATTGATGTGATATGACTTAATTAGAGGAAAAAAGGAGAAAGATAATTTGGACCATAGATTAATCATTTAAGCACTAACTAAGTGAGGATGAACTATATAAGTATATAGGATATCATAAAACATAATAAAGATATACATTGAAACATTATGTGAATTATGTTGGATGATAATTTAACATGTTTGTATTTGAAAATCTCTTAAATTATAAAAACTATAAAGATATAGCATGTTTGCATGATGTTTAAATATGATGATTGTTAGTGGATGATGATGTGGCATCTTGTTAGTGGATGATGATGTGACATCTTTGCATGTTAAGCTTAAGGACTTAGTGGGGGATAACTTTATAGTAAGATAGGATTAGAATAACTTTTATAATATTTTTTATTATTTCCTCTGCGGGTTTATTTGTGTTGTTTTGAAAAAGAAATCGATGATCATTCACCATCCACTGTTCGACTTCATTTTGGTCCTGCAATCTCCATTCTGTTCTATTGGGATTTCGGTATATAAGTGTCCATCTCTTATTTGTCCTGGTGATCCAATGCTGTGTGTTTAGTGGGCAGTGACCAAAACTTGATGGTACTACATCTGTCCCAAAATAAAGTATTTTAAGTTGATGTACCAAAATATAAGCATTTTTAAGTTGGACACGGTATTACGAAAGTAGGTAAAAATAATTAAAAGAATGTTGTGATTAGTTAAGAGAGAAGCTAGGCGAAGAAATTAAATGGAGAATAGTTGTGATTGATTGAGATGATGAGATAAGTGGAGAAATAGCTTTATTTGAGATAAAGCTTGAGTGGTAAAAATAGCTTCATTTTGCAACTTAGGGATTATTTGTCTTGACATCATGTGAGATGTGATCCTTATGTCTCGAGTATTTGTTTACTTTGATATATGGGTTATATGCAATTAATGAATGGGCTCATTCTGACTATATTTGGACTGCCTTAATGGACCTGCGATGCTTAAGTCGACTTGATATTATGGGTTGCTCGATAGGTTCAAGTCAACTACATAGTGAAAAAAACCAGACCGGGCCGGCGGTTCAACCGGAAAAAACCAGAACCAGAGGTCTCCACGGTTCGGTTGAGCTGAAAGACCGGACATGCATTCAACCCGGATTGAACCGGCTGAACCGGCCGGGTTTTGAATAAACCGGGCATTAAACCGCCCTGGTCAGACCGGGCCAAGGAGATAATGGGCTACATGAAGACCCAGTCTAGGCCCACGCGACTGTTTCTGTACAAAAATCAGAGAAATGAGTGGCGTGGGGAGACTCGAACCTGGGTCTTTGCACTGCAAGCGCTCGGCTCTAGCCATCCTACCGACTTTTCACTTGTGTAATAGAGGAAATACATACTGCATATATTAGTTATTGAACCGCGGTTCAACCGGCGGTTCTCCGGTCAGACCGTCGGACCGGTGAACCGAGGGGTCGTCCGGGTCCCTCACCGGTTCGGTTTTTTCCACTATGGTCAACTATGCTTAAATGGGTGTCAGATGTTATTTGGTCTTATTAACAGGCCCAGGATGAGAGTTTGGGCTGGTTAACAGGCTTTGGAATTCACTTGCGGACCTGTTTGTGTGATCTTTTTTCCTTATATGTTTTTGGAAATAAATCAGGATTGTTAGATTTTGAACGTGTGTATCAAAATCTGACAGATATAGCACTAGATTTTCCAGCGAATTCTATCTATATCTATCTATCTATCTTTCTATACCTATACTAATTAGTCACTTATTCTCAGGTTAACTAGAAAGAACTAGCCATTGATTAGATCCATTGTTTTATTCTAACCATAGATTAATATTATAATCATATATATATGTGGGCTTTTTAGAGCCCAATCATTATTACGCGTGGGTGTCTCTAAATATAGTTCTGCACGTACGTATCGATCGATTGTTCCAGGACTCGGCACGACGTAACGTACACAACAATAGTCTCTCTTTGTCCATATGACGTATCCGCAGGGGCAGATCCTCTCTGCACCCACAAAACCTATGGATACCTCCGGAGCACCCCTTTAATTTTCTCACCATTAATGATAAACTAAAAGTCCCTAGATAGTTGGAGGTTGAAGAAACTGTTTAATTGAGTCCCTGAATTTTTTTTTTCCTGGATCAGCCCCTGCGTATCCGATCCGCAGATGGCCTTGACCATGCAGAAACAGGCATGGTTTCCTTCGTCGTTTCTACTAGCAGTTGCGCCCTGAGGATCGGATTGGCCACAAGTGCAGGTTGACACCTTCGACATCAGCCATGCATCCCCCAGCAGATCACCTGCGCCATTATTATTTTCTCTGTCAATATTTGATTCTAACCGATCTCGCTAGCTAGCTCCTAATTATATTTTCTCAGTTAATATTTGATTTGATTTTTTCCAATTCATGACTCAGCTATACCGCCATCTACCATTATAAATTCTAGACCAATCAACAAATTCTCTTGCACCCATGAAGATCCATGCAGAGCCGTTGCATCTGTAATTAATCCATGAAGGTAATCTTTAGATTTGTATAGTTTTATTAATCTGTCGTCTGTAACTTTGTAGGTACTCCAACTTGATGGTTCCTGATCTCGGCACGTGGTATATCTATATGATCGGTTTCTGTTTTGCAAGTACTCGATGACTCTGCGAGCGTGTAATGTGAGCAGCTGCCATGTCGTCGAGACTTCTGTTGCTCGGGAAAGCAACATTCCACAGGACACCTAGCGCGATGGCCCCAGCGATCAGAGCCGCTCCAGAGCAGAATCGAGCCAGCAAGCTATGTCTGAACCTGCGAGAGGTCACGACATAGAGATCTCCAGCTTCTGAATCCAATATTTAATCGGTACAGTTTTTCTCTACGTGGTTGTGCCCTAAAAATTGATTAACCGGGAGTTATACTATGCCATCAGACAAATTCCTTTGCTGCAGCCATGGATGGTCCTGGACAAAAATTTCAGTCAATAAGTTCAGGCTATATATAAATACCCGAAGGATCAATCTACATAATAGAATAGAATACTGTACAGCTGAAAATAACAAAAAACAGAACTTAGTTAAATAACAGGCCATTATTTAGGTGAATTGTATTATCATGAAAATTATCCTATTGAGAAATTGTATTGAACAAAATAAGCATTGAATGTACCGTGGAATTTTTATCTTTAGTTTTTCCGAATTTAATCATACCAAAATGTGGAATTAATAAATATGAAGATCTACTCATGTTGAACTCTCAATTTGGGATTATATTCTTGAGTTTAAATTTTTCAAAATTAATGACTGTGAAATTCGAAACTAATAATCAGCATGTAATTGTTGATTCATAAGTGCTGATTATACTTGGACTTAAAATAAGAAACTTGACTTTTTTGTGAAATAATTCAGCACAACTTGGACTTATAACAAGTTATAAGTCAGCTCTTCTTTTAATTGAACAACTATATTTAGAAAAATAAACAACATATATTCAGCATGTAATTAAAATTTAATATATAATATGTATACATATCAATAAATAACCCGTGGAACGTATGGGTTGGCGACTACTTTAGATAGTCCCTCATGATAGGATGCTAGCTGATGAGCACATGGAATTGTAAACCGTATGTATTTCAACAGTTGGCCGGTATGGAGATCCCTGACCAGTAAAACAGTTCTCAGATTGCAGTGTGCGCTAATTCACCAAACAAAAAGTTCACAGATCACGGAACCATAAAAAAGGGAAACATATCACAGCAAGAGCGAGTAACGGCGGCAAACAAGTTATTGATCCATTCCAGCAGCAAGCACGTTGAATCATCCATCATTCACCAGAACATCCTCTCGTTCCCTTCACCACAACTCCATCCTACGTGCATGCCTGCAAAAAGATTGATATCGTAAGCCCCAAAACACAAATATCCCAATTAGATTAAGAATCGATACTAAAGATGTATTAGTATCAGTTCTAAAAGTCCAACTCTCTAGAAACATCTTTAGTTTTGGTTGGTGTTGCAAACCGGTACTAAACTTTTTTTTAGTACCGGTTGGTAACACTAACCAAAACTAAAAATTCATTTTTAATACCGATTAGTAACATCAACCCGAATTAAAGATATTTTTAGTAAATGTCTACAGGGTTTGTTAAAAAAGAAAGTATCTCTATCCAAATCAGATGTGTGGAGTTGGTGGGATGGTTACGCACGTGAGGGCTCAGATGTTCCCACATACTTTTTGACTTAATATGCATATTTAGTACCGGTTCCTTCAACCTGTACTAAAGATCAAGAACTTTAGTCTCGGTTTCCATCTCGGTTGCTACAATCGGTACTAAAGAGGGCTTTTAACCGGTACCAAAGTTTACTTCTCTACTATATAGATGTGATGATTTTTTTTAATTTGCCTTTTTTAAAAGAAAAGGATGTACCACTTGTACAATACCTAATCGTTCTGGCATTTGAATTCTTGCAATGGAAGCAACAAGAATAATGTGATCTAGCTCTATGGTGGAACGGGAAGAAAAGAACAGACAATAAAAGAAAAGGAGGCCAGAAGCAAACCATGGATGCCTTGCAATTGCAGTCAATGAAGAACAATATATCCTTGCTGCTTCAATTTTCCATTGAGAATTCATTTGTTCCTTTCTTCCTTCTGCATTATATCGATTCGCTCTTGCCAGCGATTCTTTTACTAGATAGCTGGAATCTGTCCTTCTTGTCTAATTTTCTTCCTACAAAAGAAAAAGATATATTCATCCATCCCTCTTTCCCATCGACACTCCATCCCTCTGCTGCACCCACACTCCATCCCTTCTATACCTTGCTTCTTCCCTCTTCCTCATGGAGTCATGGACACTTCATCCTCTAGTTCTTCTTCTCTTGTATATATGAGGCAATTTCGACAGGGGCAGGAAAACATGCCGCATCCTTCGGTTGGTGCACAGCGAAACAGCGAGGCATCATCTGCGTGACACCAACAATTGGCATGTCGTCGTCGACCACACCATGGTTTGCGGGTGGGCAAGCACATCATATTTTTCTTCTAAGCACTGTGGTCCCATCTCTCTCCTCTAATACCCCTCTAAAACGTATGTTGCAGAGCTATTCACAGATGACAGGGTGAGGACCCTATCGCATCAGGTCATGACACTTGAGGACAGGGTGTGGGAGTTGGAGCACAAAAACACCCAACTGCTCCACGAGAAGGGTAAACTAGAGAAGCAATTGGAGACAAAAGCGGCAGCTCAGGCCATCTCAAGCCAGAAGGAAGAGGTGGAGAGGAGCTTGAAGGGTGAAAATGATAAGCTTCAGTTGGAGGATTTGACTATGGAGGAAAATTATAGCCAGTCTGAAGCTGAGGTTGAGCAGTTCCAAAAGGAATTAGGTGCATTAGTGGAGGAAAAAGAGGTAGCTGCTAAGACATTTGATGATGACAAAGAAAAAATGAAGATGGAATCAGAGTATCTTAAAAGGAGGTTGGAGGAAATCCATGACAACAAAGATTTCATGAAGACTGAAAATAATAAGCTTCAGTCCGAGGCTTTGATTGTAGAGAAGAAACAAATCATGTTTGAAGCAGAGATTAAGAGACTGAAGATGGAATTGGGGGCAGTGACAGAGGCAAAGGAGGTGGCTGCAAAGGCATTCAATGCTCAAAATGAAGAAATCACCAAGAAACTAGAGGATCTTAAGAGAAAGTTGGAAGAAATCCAAACAAATAAAGACTTAGTGGAAGGTGAAACTAATGAGCTTCAGCCAGAGGTTTTTGCAACAGAGGAGAAAAATAGCCTGTCTGAAGCAGAGATTAAGTGCCTTAAGCAAATATTGGAAGTAGCGATGGAGGTGAAGGAGGCAGCTGCAGAATCATTTGATGCAGAGAAGGAAGAAATCATGAAGCAATCAAACAATCTCAAGAGGAAAATAGAAGAAAATCAAGCTAGCAAGGATTTGGTGGAGAGTGAAAATGACAAGCTTCGGTCAAAGATGGTGACAGTAAAGCAGAAACATAATCAATTTGAAGCAGATAATAAGAGCCTCAAGATAGAATTGGGCGCACTAAAGGAGGCGAAGGAGGCTACTGCAAAAGCATTTGATGTTGAGAAGGCAGGAATCCTAAAGGAATTGGAGGATCCTAAGCGGAAGGTGGAGGAAATTCAAGCTAAGAAGGATTTGGTGGAGCGTGAAAATGATAAATTTCAGTTGGAGGTCCTGACTGGAGAGCAGAAACAAAGCAAGTCTAAAGCAAAGGCTAAGAGTCTCAAGGTGGAACTAAGTGCATTGGTGGAGGCAAAGGAGGCGACTGCAAAGGCATTTGATGTTGAGAAAGCAAAAATCATGAAGGAATTGGAGGATCTTAAGAAAAAGGTGGAGGAAATCCAGGGCAAGAAGGATTTGGTTGAGGGTGAAAAGGATAAGCTTTGGTTGGAGATTTTAATAGTAGAGCAGAAACATAGCATGTATGAATTAGAGGTTAAAAGGCTCAAGTTAGAACTAGGTGCATTGGCAGAGGCAAAGGAAACAGCTATGAACTCATTTGATACTGAGAAGATAAAATTCATAATGGATGTGGAGGACCTTAAGAGGAAGATAGAGGAAATCCAGGTCGGTAAGGAAGCGACTGAGGAAGTAGGGCGCGACAAGGATGCTGAGGCCGATAGGCTGAGGGCTGAGTTGATGAAGATCGGTGTTTCTTTGTCACAGATGCAAGCATCCTATAATGAACTTGATGGTAAGAATTCGCACCTAAATGATGAGAAGAATTCAATCTAGAAAGCAGTAGATGCTAAGAAGGTTGAAGCATGCAAGCTGAAGTAAAAAAATTGGGGAACTTGAAAATTACGATGCTGAAAAGGATGATGAGAATGGGAAACTGAAGGCGGCATTATAGGAAAAGAAGAGTGAGATTGATGCCCTCACCAAGGACAATGAGCTGCTGCATCTCACAGTTGCTGAGGCACAGGAGAAGAATAAGTGTAGCATTTTATCATGCATATCACCATGCAGCTCCAAATAATTAGGTTGGGAATGTGTTGCATTAATAATGTAATGGTTGCAATGAAATAAAACTTGCACTTCCTTTGTTATATGTGATATGCTATAATGCTAATGTTCTATTGATTAATCAGATACATTTTGTGACGTCTCTACACTATTAATAGTTTGGTAAACCTGCCACCTTACCTATTATTACTCAACAAAATGTTGCTCCTTTTAGCAATGGCCTAATGGGATTGATTCTACAGAGTAGTATAGCTGGAGTCCACTTGCCATTCTTATGCATGTTTCGATTTTATTTAGCATATTGTTCTCTATTTTTCTGAAGAAAATTACTCTACCCGTAAAAAATTTACTCATGTGCACATTTCACGTATGGCAGGGGTGGGCCCAGGTTTTCCTTGAGGCCCAATACCACCATTATATGGTGAAAGTTTGTTGGGCATAGTGAGCTTCAATTCGACAATTCCTACGCCTTGGGGCTCGGGCCATGGCCCGAGCAGCCTATGGCCTAGGTCTGCCCATGCGTATGGCATTCCCATGCCCATAATTTCAATTTTTCCCACCTCTGGCCTCGCATTCCTAGGTCCCATGCTTTAGTAAATAATCGTATGATAAAGAAATTACTAACATTTATTTTAATTGAAATCGCAACAATTGTCATAAGGTAATAATGTTTTTACTAACATGTAATTTATTTTTAGATCTTGTCCTGCATCATCTGATGGTAATGTTTTTACAACTATATTTTACTACCGGATGACATTGACATCTGGCGGTAGTAAACTTTTTCACTAACATTTTTTATTAAATTATGACTAAAAAGTCCATTAGTAATGTAATTACTCCGTTCTGCTGAAACATAATTGAGGCCTAAAACAATAAAATATTGGTTGTTGTTGTTGTTTTTGTTTTTGTTGTTGTTTTTGTTGTTGTTGTGTTGTTATTATTGTTGTTGTTGTTGTTGTTGTTGTTTTTGTTATTATTATTATTATTATTATTATTATTATTATTATTATTATTATCATTATTATTATTATTATTATTATTATTATTATTACTATTATTATTATTAAAGTGTGTTTATGTTAAATATGTTGTTATTTATAGAGACTTAGAATAAAAAATTAGTTCATGTCTTTTACAACTTGCTAGTTATGAATTTTATAATTAAATTAATAGGTACCTACATTGAGAATCCAATATTGGTACTTCATATTTATGAATTCAAAATTATTTAAGAATTATAGGGGATTATGGTGAATCAAGTTACAATTCGCAATTATCACTTTGGAATTTTGAAGTTAAATTGATAAAGTCCAAATACATACAACTCTATATATATATTAATTCTGATTTTTACAAAAAACAAATCCTGAATAGTCCTTGGTATCTCCTATGGCATGTTTTGTTTAACACGAATTCTCAATATAATATACTGTTACAATTATACCTATAAAAATCCAATGACATGAACATCGACAATAAGCCGCTGACTGTATACATTATGCATATGGATATATGAACAGAACATCTAGAAAGTAGTCATTAGTTGTTAGTTTTTATTCGAATACATATATATATACATATATATATATATACATATATATATATATATACATATATACATATATATGGATACATATATGTATCTGGATACATATATATATATATATATATACATATACATATATATAGATACATATATATACATATATACACATATATATACATATACATACATATACATATATGAATATATATTCTTTGTTTCAAGATTAAAATCAAATAACCCAATTTTTATAATGAGCATGAGATTTATGCTGTTAATTGACCTGATTGCTTGAACAATGCATTTTATCACTTATGAGTTATGTTAAAATAGATATTCAATAGGTAAAATATTAGCAGCATGATTTATTATTTCAATCAAAATAAAACAAAATCAAAGATGTCTTGAATTCGGCACATAGAACATGCAAGTTTTGACATAATACATATGATCAGAATGTCTTGAATAGAAGGTGCAAATTCGACGATACCTGTGTACATTACAGACAATCGACCACAGATGAATCAGACTCAACTCTGGGACATTGATATTAGTAGTTGATTTCCTTTTCTGTATAAATCCCTTGGTGACCAAGGATCATGAAGGCGATATCACTATATCGGCCTATAGTAAGCTTGATCCGAAAGAAAGCTAGATTTTTATGTGCCCTGTAGACACTGCTCTCATAATTATCGTGCTTAAACAATCCATTAATGATCAGGTATTAATCGCCACTGCGTACACTCTTCCTTGCCTTAGCCTGTCTGCATGCAACCATTCGATGATGGCTTAAGAATCAAGTCTGATCGACGATAAGAACATTCATATATGCACTTAAAGAATAATTTAGGTGCTGATCGGGATGAAGGGCAACCTCGTCACTTTGCCAATTTCGATCCCTAATCAGCATCTGTAGTTCACAAAAAATAAACTTCAGAATTATTACTGAAATGTGTCCTTACAGTTCTTGCAAATGGTGTTGCAAGCATACCCTTTGACATGATTCACAATGATTAAAAGTTCAAAAGAAAAAGGGAAAAAATGAATAGCCATGATTTGTAGGTTCAATCCATAGAGACCTCTTCAAGGTAAAATTAAAGTAGTCAGCGAACATCTAAATATGATTCAGAAAACAAACTATGGTGTCAGGAAAAGAAAAAAAATACATTGAATCTTTGATTGATGCAAATGTTCCAATGATCTTGCAAATATGTTTAGGTGTACCCAATAAGGAGTAAGTTTTTATTACTGGCAAGATTGAATGAGGTAAGTGTCACGTGCAAGTGAAATAGGTGAAGGGGAATAGATTATATTATAATAGAGAAAGTTACAAGACTAGCCCTCAACCAAAATTACTTGACGGGAGCCGAGAAGGTAGGGTCGGTGGGCACTATGATAAATTTTAATCTAATGCCTATCATAACCTAGAGAGGGACCATCCTTACATGGATAGAGGACAACCTAATCTAATCCTATCCCAACAAACTTCCTAACCAACTGAAGTACGTTATCCCGACTGTGCAGCACACGCATCACCTGGAAGCCACGTGGCATGGTACTGTGTCGCCTCCTTTGGAAGTCATTGGGACTGCCGGAATCATCTACTCGGCTTCCGTTGGACATTGCCATGGTACCGTTGTTGCAACGGCCAGCCATGAAGCCGAGCTCCACCTGATCGTGGCCCATGCTGGCGAAGATCAACTCACCATGGAGTGGAATAAATAGTAAATAGATAAAACAACAATCCAACTGCATAACAATGGAGTGTGCAGTATTGAGACCTATTGGTGGCTATGGTAGTAGGACAAACAAATGCAATAGAGAGATTGTAGGAACAAGGAGGCCGACTAGAGGGAGGTGAATAGGTGGTTTTAAAACTTTTGGCTAAAACCGAGTTTTGTATGCGAAAACGTAAATCAAAACGGTTTTGCACAATTCAAAACCAAAATCAAGTAGTCTCAACTAAGTACACAAAGAAGCTAGCCTATGTTGAGATTTGTAAGCCTAGGGTGATAATAGCACAAATAAACTCTAGTATGTAAACTTGCTCAAAGTAAATTTGCACAAAATAAAGGAGACAAGTGACAAAGGATTTTTTTCACCCGATGTTCAGAAGTTTGCTAACTTCCTACGTCACCGTTGAGGTGAGTCCAACTTTACCGCTCAAACCACGAAGCCACCGCAAGTCCCCTTCGTCAAGGGGTGGGCAAGGTGAGAGCCGGCCCACGAAGTGGTCTTCCAGGCCTCTATCACTATGGTTGTTCTTCCTCCACTCCGGAGATGGAGAACACCGAGCCACTCACAATCAACACCGGCCATCCTCCACATCCTTCTCGGAGAGGTCACCAGGCAACTCCTCCAAACCGTCTAGGAGGTGACAACCTCCAAGAGTAACAAGTCTAGGATGCATGCCGAGGATGATCAAGTGCTACACTAGCTATAGCGATGAAGCAATACATTTGGATTGGCTTAACTTACTCTCCAATACCTCACTAGATAAACTAAGTGCACAAGGGTGCAAGGGTTTAAGATAATGCAATGGAGTGCCAAAACCTTACCCTTACTGCTGGGGAGTGGGTATATATACTCCCAACCACCAAAACTAGCTGTTGGAGGCTAAAACACCTTTTTAGACGTGTCTGCCAGTCTGACCGCCCTACTAAACCCGGTCAGACCAGCCCTTGGTCCAACGGTAAAAAAAAACTAGCCGTTGGGGGCTGTCGGGACCTTCGGGCGGTCTGACCGTCCATACAATGTCAGTCTGACCGCTAGGCAATTTTCACCACAGTCCACCGATAGTAAAATGGCGATAACTCTTGATTCAGGTCTCGGAATTTGACGTTCTTGGACTCTATGGAAAGATTATTCAAAGGGCTATCCAACCCATGAACAATCCTCTAAGAAACACAACTTTTCTCAGGGAGAAAGGGCTCACACTCCAAAGGATACTCCACCGGACAAAACCACATGAGGCTACCCAAACCTATAGGATGTGCCCACTTCACTCTTTGTTTGGGACTTGAGAAAACTCACCACACTTGGCTAGATAAGCCCACCAAATGCACCTACATGCATATGAACTAATATGGCACAAGATCATCCACATGCTCGCTTCATAGACCACTCTTAATAGTACGGCGCCTATCTAGCAAATCTGGTCTACACCAAACACCAAGACCGGAAAAAGACTAAGAAAACATTCTTAGCTCCATTATACCTTGGTCTTGCGCCATCCAACTTGGGGTCAATGTTTGAGCCAAGAACAACACTTGTGACCATTCGGTTGAACCATGTTTATACTGAGGTCTTGACCATCATTTGTCAAGACTTTCTTCTCATCACAAGCTTGACTTCATTCTTGTCAACATGGCGATGTCCTTGCTTGGTGACCATCAACCCATGGTGTCATCCGTTAGCCTCATCACGGTGGGACCTATTTCTTTGCACATCTCAAAGGAGAACATTAGTCCCAACAAATCGATTGTCATTCTCCACTTGATGAACAATAGGTTGCATATGAAAGATATGAATATGTTTGTTGAGTATTCATTAACACCACAAGTGTCATATACTCGTACGCAAGCTCAAGTACAAAGATCCGATATAAATAATAGGTGAACAACATGGATCTAGAACATGCACAATAAATGTATAGGATTTTCTCCCCCTAAATATATGCATACAAAGAAATATACAAGAGAAGCAAGTGTATGCATAAGTAAAGAAGAACCAATGGGGTTTATCCTATACACATGGACAATGCATGTAGCAATGATAAAGACAAACAAAAATACATACCTTCATGATCTCCATGTTCTCAAAGTAAAGGAGATTAAATAAGATAAGGCTCAAGTAAGCATTATTCTCACACTTATATAACAATAACATGGAAATCATATATATGAACCTATCAAGAAGTAGGAGATAAGAAGTGATACATATTGCTTTATCTCCATGCATTTCATCCTTGTCATGATTAAGGTCCATCACAAAAGTATGCATATCTACCACCTCATTATCGGGAATTAACCTAGTTGACAACTTATATAAAAGAGTGGTTAATCCCATAAACATCGGTTTATCATCTATCACCAAAGGAACAATTACACAAATTGTTTAATCCAAGATCTTTCAATATTTTCTCTCTTTGGTGATGGATAATAACCCGATATAAACAATATAGAGAGATGAGATGAAAGATAATTTCAAATAAAGATAGAGATTTTATAATAAACAAAATATAGAATAAACTCTCTCTCAAGATGTTTATACATATGGATATAGAGGAATGCATATGCACATAATCAATCAAGATCAATGAGGGAGCTCACACTATATTTTGGATCGACAAGAGAGACCAAGTTAGAATATGTGAGGTTTAATACATATCTCTTATCATTTTTACTTTCATATCCAAATGAGACTTGTCAAAGAAAAACTCATAAAAACATTAGTCTTATATAATTAGATTTGTCATTAATCACCAAAACTAAATTAAGGCACTTGAACTTACAGAGATCTTCAAGAAGCCTCTTTTCTTAAGATACTGCACAAAAGAAATAGTTTTTGGATTTGAAAAAAACAGTTGACAATAGTTTTTTTTTTCTATCAAAACTTTCAATTAGTGGACCACATTGGATTCCATTGAGATTCGTGCGAGGGAGTGAACAAAATTTCATGCAACGTGCGCAACGGGGGTTCAAACCCGCGACATCAGGAGTGAGATTGCATGGGGCTAGCCTAGGCAAGTTTGATTTTTTTCGGATTTCATACTAAGTTATATATAAGTAGAGATATGTTATAATTACACTTTTAATTATAGTATAGTTACATTTGAAAGTTTTTTCCGTAAACAACTGTTCGAATGTTGTATAGCTACTCCAATATTTTTTACTAACCGATCCACATATTTGTTCTGGCACACGGATTAATTAATGGATGATGATCCAATGACTGAAGTCTTTTGGTGGCATTCATCTTGTGGCTACTAATTTGTTGATGACATCTCTTCTTATGTAGTCAATAAGAAAGATTCCTCTGAAAATTAGTCAGGCTACGCCGCTAGAGCTGACGAGCTTATAGTTTTCTACAACCAAATTAATACATGGATTTTTCAGAATTAAAGGTTCAGAATGCAGCCATTAAATCAATTTTCCGAACAAAACGTTCAAGGATAGTCCAATTATCCCAGGCCATAGAAAAATGGAAATATAATAGCGGTAACCATCGCAAATGATCTTTTCATCCATTCCAGCCCTTGTGAGACGTCATTCATGGGATGCAGCACAGGAGACACAAGGCAGGTAACTAGGGGCATCATGCATGTGGAAATTTCCCAAACAGAGAAATGCTCCTGTCCTCCGATGAGAATACAGTCAGGGATAAGATAGCCAGAACTGGTTCAACCACCCCATCCCGACTTCACTTCACTAGCACTTCATCCTTCCTCTTCTTCATCGGTATTCCATGCCTTCCCTACACTGCTTCTTTTTCTCTACCTCACCGACACTCCATCATTTTCTTCACCGGCACTCGATGCCTTCCGCCCTTCTCTCCTCTAACTCTTCCCTATATATACACACACACACACATATGGATTCACCTCAAGTCAAACATTTCATCAGCACACGTAAGTGTCTTCAACCTCCGACGAGTGTGTGACAACAGCAGCCGCAATTCGTCGTCGTCCTCACTCCTCCAAGTCATGGAGGCGGCGGCGTTTATTGCCGGGGCTGCCACGGCAAGGTATTCAAGTGGACCAAGACATCATTTTCTATATTTCAAAAGGATACAATTCCCGTGCACATACATAGCTTTGTCCCATCTCTCTTCTCTAATGCTCCCTCTAAAACTTTCACTACAGGGGCTTGCAGTTGTCCCGAAGGGTGAAGGAGTTGGAGAGCCAAAACACTACACTATCTAATGAGAAGAATGACCTGGAGAGAAGGGTGAAGAGGTTGGAGTACGAAAACAACAAGCTGTCTAATGAGAAGAGGTGGGCGGTGGATGTGTACTCAAGAAAGATCTCCACACTAGAATACAGGGTGTGGGAGTTGGATCACCAAAACAACAAACTGTCCAGTGAGCTGGTAAGGCAAACGGAGGACACGAGGACAGTGGGTCTGCTGTTCATGAATGCTGCCGATAGGTACCAACACGTAGCAGAGGTGCAGATTAGGACAAAGGAAGAGGAATTGGTGAACATGAGGAAGGCAAGCATGCAGTTAATGAACGCTGCTGATACGTACCAAGAAGTAACAAGGAAGCAAATTAAGGCAAAGGAGGATGACCTGGAGGATGCGAGGAAGGCAATTTTAATGATCATGAATGCTGCTGATACATATCAACAAGTAGCAGAGAAGAAAATTAAGGATAAGGTGGAGGAATTGAGGGTTCTTGGGGTTCAAAAGGCAGAGATAGATGCAAGGATAGCATCATTGGAGTCTAGGCTCGAGGCAGCTCTAGTGAAGAATCAGGAATTGGAGTCTACTTCTGTTAAGGCGTTGATTGAAAATGATATGCTTTGGTCGGTCATTGAGAGGCTCATGATGGGCGGACTAGTTGAGGTGAAAGAGGCAGCTGCAAAGGCATCTGATTCTGAAAAAGTAGAAATCATGAAGGAATTAGAAGACCATAACATGAAGGTGGAGGAAATTCAGACCAACAAGAATATGACGAAGGGTGAAAATGATAAGATTCAGTCAAAGGTTTTGAGAGAAATGCAGAAACATAGCTTGTTTGAAGCAAGGGTTGAGAGGCTCAAGATGGAGCTAGATGCGTTGGTCAAGGCGTAATAGGCAAAATCATGAAGGAATCAGAAGACCTTAAGAGGGGACACGTAGGAAATCCAGGCTGCAAAGGATTTCGTGAAGTGTGAAAAATGATAAGCTTTGGTTGGAAGTTTCCGAAGAAGAGGTTGAGAGACTCAAGGAAAATATTTAGCCGATATTTTTCCTTGAAACATTTATACATCTGGATGGTCTGGCACCAAGCTCTGTGGTTGTGTCCCCTTGTGGTGCTGCTCACTGTCTCTACTCTGTTAACAACACTAAAATAAATAGGTGCTTTGGAATGGGTTTACAATTCAGAAATATATGATAATTGTGAGTGTGCTTATTACATGAGATTGTTTGTTACAAAACGTGGAGCAAATTTATATTTTTAATTAGATATGCATGCATGGTTCTCTCACTTGTTTGGGAGCGTATCCTATGCACACATGCACACAGGCCCTCGCGTGTACACACCGTGTACACCAACTAAAAATTATTACAAAAAAATCTAGAAAAATTCATATATGTACTTTCAATAGTATTATATCTATGTGCAAAGTCGTATCTTCAAATTCATTTTACATAGAGAATAACAAAAAAGATAAAATTCTAACAAAATTATAACCTTAAAACTGTTAGATTTTTTGTTTTTTTGGTTACGGCTAAAATATAATGAATTTGATGTTAAGATTTTAACCCTAAGTGTAATACTATTGAAAGTACATGTATGAATTTTCTAGATTTTTTTAGTGATATTTGTTAGTTGGTGTGCACGTGTGTACACGAAAAAGCTTGTGTACATGGGATATGTTGCCCACTTGTTTAGTATAAACACTAGCGTATTATACCTATCTAGGATTGGTAAACTCTCAAGGTTGCCTGTCAAACACAAGAGCACATCAGGATTTTATATAGCTTCAGGTCCTCTCCTCGGGTCGGGAGTAGTATCCTGTCTAGTCAATTGCATTGATATATACTAGAAAATCACGCGCCTGTTGGCGCGCCCACTAATTAGCATGTATATGTGTCTATAAATATAATGCATTTTAACAATATTTTAGATTTTAGGTTTTGAGTGTGTACCAAATAGTACATGTAGTGTCTATAAGTATTTTGTTTCTAAAGTTTTATAAAATCTCACATCTATACGTATTCCGCAAATATTCACTTAATATTTAAAATATAAATTGTATATAAAAGTCTTAATTGTTGATTTCTTGGCTAAGGTGATTTTCAAATATTACTTCCATTGCAATTTAACAAAATATGAGCTTATTAACAACTGATTTGACAGCCATATGGACTAATCCATGGACTAATCGACATAAAAGGTAAAGTAAACCTTTAAGTCAAATTACATTTTAGCCTGAGGATTGGTGTTACAAATATTTGTCGAAAATCTTGCAAAAATAAAAATCTCAAAGCTAGTAATACTCCAAATCACACCTAGCAGTATACCCTTCTGGCCTTCCCTTCCCTTCACATTGGACTCCTGGCCTACTTTTTTTATCATACCGGTAAACTCAGAGTTCTTCTAGAAATTACCGAGGTTAAAATGAGGGGAAAAAAACTTAGTCCTATCCTCGTTCCACTTGCACGCACCATCAGCGTTCAGTAATGATTCTGCGATCCTCCCTGTCCTCCTTTCTTCTCTCCTCCTTTCTTCTTTTGATGTTGCTCTCTTCTTTCTCGAAGATTGAGTCCGATCGAGGAGAGGATCTGCTGTTGGGATACGTGTAGGCTATGATAGTATAAATCAAAATTTTTCTACACGTAAATCAGGAACCATGCAAGTATTATATCATAGATCATTACCACTCGACGCGCTGTGCAGCGGAAGTAAGTGCTAAGAAGCCGAAGAAACGTCGGGGACGTAGCGCGCGTCGGTGCAGAGGAAGTAGTCGATCGCAGCAGCTCGATCTTTTCCTCCTCGTGCGTTCTCCTCGCCGTGCTTTCACACCGATCAGCACCGCAAACCAGCGGCACCTCTACCGGTATCCACACGTACAGAGATGGAACGCCATGTGCAGACATGCTAGCGTCTACGTGCGGCTAGGGTTTTGCTCGGGGAGGGGAGTGGCGGCTAGGGTTTCTTACGTGATGCGATACCTCCGCCGGTCACACCCCTCATAAATATATAGGATCGATAACTTGGGCCTCCAAGGCCCATAGGACTTCTATTCGGATCCCTATCTGAATTAAGCTCATATTGGATCTCCATCCAATCCTCTTATTTCGGCCCATTAAGCGTGCGACCTTGTAGGTTCATGTACACTCGGTTGTAACCCAAAAACTCATTTTCGGTCTACGTGTCAACAGCGGCCTCTAGTAGAACGTATTGACTTACCGGGCATACATAAAGATCATATCGGTTAAACCTCTAGTGTATACTCGTATGAACCCCTTTGCTTCACGATATCGATTAAGCTCAAGGTTAGATATGTGCCATCCTCTAATAGCTCAATCATTTACTCAAACTTGTGATAGATTATTTAACCTATGATTGACTCCTCAATCACCTTTGGTATGGCCATGCACTTCCATAATATATAACATCGAGAGGCCCAGAGATATCTCTCCATAGGAGGGGCAAATCCCATCTTAATTATTCATATCCCACTACATGTTCCATAGCATACCTGAAAACTATTTTTATAACTACCCAATTACGGAGTAGCGTTTAGCAGTCCCTAAGCAAGCTACTACACATGTTGGGAACCATGATAATCTCAGGTCTAAGGATTCAATACCAACACTAAATGATATCACTGATGACACAACACATATGGCTCTTGCAGTGTCTCATGTTGGGTCTATCCAACAACATGTTCCCCATTATGTATCCACATTATTAATGAGACATGATCTTCAATTAATACATGTGCTGATCATTTAAACATATTTGTTCCACATATGATATTTGATCAGGGATCCTTTAGAAATAGCAACATAGAACATAAAGAGTCTCATGAAAGAATCACATATTCATTAACCAATAATGAGTTATTTATTTCAAGAAACAATGTCAGATAAATATATAAACATAGTATGTAATACAATCATCTTTATGATTGTCTCTAGAGCATATCACCAACATCTGCATGAGAAAAGGAAGAGGCTAGCTGTGTTGGGAGCTTTCTTGAGCTCGCCTAGTAATTCTCCTCACCACGCCGATCGTCAGGGATTGAGTCTACACATGGAGGAGGAAGAAAAAGCTGGTTTCATCAATCACCGGCTCCGAGCCCCACCTCGCAAGGATTGTGGCGTCTAGCGGCGGCCGAATCTGAGCCGGCAAACCGGCCGGATTTGAGAGGCAGAGGAGGAAGCGAGCTGTAGCTTGTCAGTGGCAGCTGCTCCAAGTCTTGAACTTCGGATCATCAGTATGGCAGCAGGCCACCAGCAGCGAGTAGCGACGGCAGTTCGATGGGAGCGTGGGCGTGTGGCCGTGAATGGGGAGGTGGTGATTTTTTTTTAAAGGGCGCAGATAGTTAGGATTTGGGAATTATCTAAAATCTACAGTTATGATAGTTAGGAAGTATCTGGAAATTTGTATGTGGATATGTGGTGCTCAGAAATTTTTTTCAATGGTAATTTCTAGATTTATCCTACAAATTAACTCAACCACGTATACCAACCAGATGGTAGCGTTTCCACCAGCATGAGAAGGTTAGACATGCAAGAATCTACCCATTACAGAGTGCATGAGCAATTCAGTGATATTATTATAAATCCTAAACCTCTTCTCTCCCCCCCCCCCTCAAGATGTACATGTTACATATCTATTGTACTATATAATATAATGTCTTATTGTAGACGGGTAGGACTCTATTTTTATATCCGAGTCGATTTCCATGCTCATCGATGTCCTGGTGGTTACCATATAGTGGCCCTTGCTTATCTCCCAAGTTCAGTGGTATGACTTTAATTTAGATGGAATTATTTCAGAACTTTCAAGGTGCTCAAATCGAACACCGGGTAGAAGAGATTCCCATATCTTCATACACGTCATTAGCCTCCAAGCTCTACTTAAAATTCCATATAAAACCGTGTGGATACGCCAATATTTGTGCTAGTTGACCATGGATACCGATTATCCTGACTAGGGGATCTCCGGATATCGTGAGCTTGAAAATGCAGAGGTCCGAGCACCTCAGGACAGCTGAGTCATGTTAGATACCAAATTCTTCACCCGAGTGTCGAGTACTTTTGCTTGACATTTTGAATAGAGGTTATAAAATGGTGTTTTCATATGTGATGCCTCAACTTTCATGGTTGTACTGTTTCTCTCTCACAATAATTGTGGATATTTTGGGGGGTGCTCTATATTCTTTTCACTGTGTTCTTCTCTAGGTTCCGCATGGTAGTGGATAAAAAATAAACGTTCCATTTTATTCCTTCTTGGCAAAGCATGCGGCCATTATTCATCTTTCTCCTTGCACCCGCATTGCCAATTAGCCTAGAAGGTCCTAGCCACCAATCTTTGCAACCAACATGCGCCCAAGAAGCTAGAAAAGGCGACGTGAGTGATGTGGACAACAACGGTCCAGTAGAATCGGGGAAATGTGCCATCTCCATTTCACAGGGCTGGGAGTCCTCGATGCTACGGAAGGTATATTTGATTGTTCTTGAGAAGGCCAAGTTAATAGCAAATAAGAGGTTGATCTCCTGGGAGTCAGCAACTCAGCGGAAGATTAGAAATTTCCGCCAACCAGGTTGCCAATACACCAGCCTCCAGCCCAACTGCTGCCGAGCCAGCCTAGCAAGCTATCGAGCCGAGGCGGCCTTCAACCGGGGCCAGTTCCCCACTGGCCTCGACAGAGCCTGTCCACCATTTCCTCTGCTCGCCGCCTATCCGGCAGTCCAGAGTACTCCTGCCGCCATCAAGGTCACCAACAAGCTCCGCCCTAACCGTCGAGCGCTGCCTCCACTGGAGTTTGCCGTGCTGATGCTCAAACCCTAGCCGCAGGAGCCACGTTGCTGTTGATATTTCTTAACAGCATTACTAAGGAACTTAATCCCTAGCAATGATGTCAGAAATATAGGTGGCAATTCTTTACATTTATAGAGATGAATCCACAAGCGCATGAATTTACCGATGTAGCATTTCACCCGGGAGTATATCCAAGGTATCGTATTTTTAATCCCCAAGAGAAGAGATGATAAGATCAAAGCCTATGCAGGGGTTAATGATATCCAGGCAAAAGAGTAGGTTGACACATGAAACACCAAGAAGAGCTACTCTCATACAAAAAGAATAAGCTTAGTACAGTGGAAAGAAACTAGCAAAGAATCATATCTATACTTCAGTAT